TGCAAGTGGTATATCTCTCTTATTATTTAGTCCATGAATACTAAACGACATCGATTTTACACCTATTTCCCATGATCAGGTAGAGCGATTTCGCTTTTCCCTTTGAGCTGCCCTTACGAGGCGAAAACCGCATTACATGTGAGTGCACACAATCAACCGATCAACGACATACAGTTCGCCCCCTACCAGTCGAACCTTCTAGCCTCCTGTGACGGAGATGGTGCCGTCAAGCTCTGGCAAACTCCTGGCACAGACCCTGACAGTGCGTGTAGTGCGTGGGATAAAGCGGAGCCTGCTTTGGTGATAGCAGGTGACGGGTGTGCGAAAGAGATTCTGCAATGGCACACCACGGCCAATCATATGCTTACAGCTGCGGGAGGCGATGTGATCAGTGTCTACGATGTGCAGGGCTCTGCACAGAAAGATGGTGAGTATAGTACAGTGCATGACAGCTGGTGGCGCTTATCTTCGAAGTTCTCGCTCCTCCACCCTCGAATATCGTTTGTTTTTATCGTATGGTTGATACGAGGGAGGGCCTTTGTTTGAACGAAAAGTTTCTCTAGTAGACTATTTGATAAAGGTCGATTCGCCCTTCCTGCTCTGCACCACGTATGATCATGCCTTGCTCAATTTAAACAATCTAAACCCCGCGTAGTATTGATCACAGCTGATACTATACTGAAGTGACGGCTGAACGAATTGCTCAGCATTTGGGTTTTTCTTATTCACCTCTCTATACAGTGTGCACAATTAAGGCCGGGGGCACCGCTGAGAACGATGGCGGCGATATACACTCTCTGTCGTGGAGTTACGATGGGTCTCTGTTGGCCTGTACCGACTCCAAACTAGGTAATTATACTAGCGTACGGATGATTGATGTACGTGGAGATGCATTATGAGTGTTCTTCTTACATTTAGTAGCTACATGTGTCCAGGCATTGAATATGTGCAGGCGTCATAAGCGTGTGTGCATCTGTGCCATTACGTGCTATCATGGTTCCATGGTGGCTGTGTATTTAAGCTTGTGAGGGGTTTGTCTATGAATGCACTGTAGGCGAAGCTATAAGAGCATACATGGGCACACAAGCTGTGTCGTACTATTGGACACCTTAATTTCCAATGCAGAAAGAATGGTAGCGTCTATGCTTGTGTCATACTAGACACATTTGACGATGTGTAGGTGTATACAATGGGTAGGTATAAATGGCCAGCAGTACAGTGAATTGAATTTATGGGTGATTGTGTCTATGCTTGTGTCATACTGGACACACAAGACGATGTGTAGGTGCATATAATGGGTAGGTATAAGTGGCCAGCAGTGCAGTGAATTGAATTTATGGGTGATTGTGTCTATGCTTCTGTCATACGAGACACAAAAGACGATGTGTAGGGTGTATATAAAGGGCTGTCTATCAGTGGTAAATGTTATGCGTAGAGGTCCATCAATCCCCGATTGGATATTCTGTTCACACGGCTCATTTTCATTTGGGACTTCCGATTGGTAGCAAGTGTTTAGTTGCGTCGCACGGGCGAGCTCGAGCGGAATGAAGTAGGCCTTACTAGTATACGACCGCATAACAACTGCTCTCGCACATGTATTTGGGGTATATTCACAAATCGAACTCTGTTTTCCCTGTGCAGGGGTGTGCATATACGATATCCGTGTGAACAGTGGCAACCAGCGAGTCATGACTATGATCCCGGGTGGTGGCAAGATGGGGGCACAGACCAAGCACAAGCCCTCTCGTGTCGTGTGGCTGGGAGGTCTGTTCGACAACAAGGGGTTGGCTACGGTCTATCTGGATAAACAGGTTGGTGAAGTCTATTGCTTCCGCTGTTCAGAGTTGTATTTGGTTCATGTGTATCATATCGAGTACTCCAAGGTGCAAGTGTTGAACGGTGATTGGAGCGTCGGCTGCTCATGTAGGGGGTGGGACAGATACAAACGAAAGAATAGACGTGCAATGGTTTACAGGTTTGAAGGGCTTGCGGGTATACGGGGTTGTTCAGTAGATAGAACAAGTCACAGTCACATTGTTAAGTGTAGGCTTCGAACAGAGATCACACAGTTGTACTTGGCTCTACAAAAGCATGGGAAAAGGTATTTGCATTGCTATATGGCACATTCAATGCTATCCCGAACCCAGCCAAGTGCTGTGCTTCTCGCTGGTAGTATGATTGTTACTATTTATCTGAATACTTTATGGTATCTGCCCTGTCCACTGCTTTCTGTTAAAGCCTTTCGTGAATCGCTGTTCTAAGTAAAACTTGGAAATTAGGCAGATTGGGGCAGGGTTCCCTTCGAGGCATAAACATCAATCAGATACGTACATCATAGCATGAAGCTTGCGACCCATCAAGCCTACCAACGCACAGGACCTGAGTGAAAATGCCGGGGATTAAATGAACTAAATATTCAATTTTGAGACAGAGAGGGTCTCAATTAAGTGTGACGGATATGCGAAGTGGCGCCAAGACACTGTCGACACAGTCTCTCAATAGCAGCGCCACGTCAACACCGCGCGTGTTCTACGATGCCGATTCAGACTCCATATACCTCGCTGCGAAGAATTCTGTCTCGGTATGTTTCATAAACGGTAACTGGTAAGCATAATCGTGTTTTGCGTTCTTTTGGGCTTGCGTACAAACACCTCCATATTCCATATGCAATGTTTTTGTGACTACCAGTTTCCGTACATCTTCCTGCGGCAAGTGCGGCAAGTCTCGTCCTGGTTTCTGCGCACAAACACCCCAATAATCCAGATACAATATATATATATATATATATATATATATATATATATATATATATATATATATATATATATATATATATATATATATATATATATATATATATATATATATATATATATATATATATATATATATATATATATATATATATATATATATATATTATTATATAATATTA